TTGAGGATCAGAGAAACTGGACGAAAACCTGATCGAGGGGGTCATTGATCCAGAAGCTGAAGTACAATACTTGTTATAGGTTCTTTACAATTATACAATCCAAATAGTAAAGAATATATTAAATGTCTTTGTTAAATTAATATTACTTTCCTTTTGGATGCTCGGTATAGTCTCTAATTATATAGAAACAATTGTGCAGCAGAAAATATTTTACTCGAGACTAGAATTGAATTTAATCATTTAATATCAACGGGTAAGGTGTAAAATAATGTACATGGATTATATGTGAATTTTTTTGTAGTGAGCTGTTGATACTGTCACGTGATACATATAATTACTAAGTCGAGTGTTGTAGTTATAAACAACAGCGTTTGGTGAAAATATGCCCTTTGTAAAACTGTATGTAATGTAGGGGGGAGAAGATTACCCGCGCATGTTTTCTTGAGTTCCAGAATCCCTTCCCGTCATTTTAACTATAAATAGTTGAAAGATGAGTAAACGTTTAAAAAATAATAAATAAAAATAAATTTTAAAAATCGCAAGATTAGCAGTATTTGAAAAATAGTCAGTTTCGTTTTCGAGTTATAGATACAGGAATTGCAAGTATGACTTTTCTGCATTGCTAACCAAATAAAAACTCGCCCTTACCTCTACTCTTACCATTATAAGCAAAAGGAGAGTTAAACCAAACGTGCGCATAGTGAAGCTACACTCACGTCCAGAAGCAAAACAAGGGGCCATCTCAGCATTTGCTCAATGGATCAGCAAAACTGGACAAAAAGCTGATCCAGATGTAAGTCATTGATCCGGAAGCTGTAGTACATTATTTGTTACAAACATATTGAGTCTTAATATACAATACAATAATACACAAAAAATATACAATACAAATGTAAACTAATTCATTATCTATTACTGTTTTGTTAAAATAAACATTATTTTTCTTTTTGATAATCAGCGTAGTCTCTAATTGTATAGAAACAGTCATGCAGCAGAAAATATTTCACTTTTAACTTACATTTGTGAACCGACTTCAATTGTTTAATGTCATCTGGCAGTGTGTTGTAAAGTAACGTACATGTATTGCATGTGGATTTCTGATAGTGAGCTGTTGATACTGGCACTTGATGAACGTGATTTGTACAACGTGTGTTGTAATTATAAATATCAGTATTGCATGAAAATATGTTCCCACCGTTAAGTAAGTCACTTTTGACAAATATTACAGATTCGTAAATATATAGGCAAGGCAATGGTAAGAATGCAAGCTCAATGAAGAGAAGCTTGCTGGGATCACGCGGATGGGAGTTTCCCCAGAATTTTATACCATATCTCAGGCGGAAATGTACATTTACAAAATACACGCAAAGAGCTGCATGAAGGCTGACAGAATTTGATAGTTCTGAATGCATAACATAATGAACTTAATTTAGCGTTTAATTTTGTTATGTGTACATTCCATTTGAGGTTTGACTGAATTGAGAGACCTAGAAAATTTGTTACCTGAACATCAGCTAATTGCATATTATTCATGTTCAGTGGTGCATGCGATTGCTGATTCAAAAGACCCAAATGCATTGAAACTGTTTTTCCTTCATTAACTATTAATTTGTTATTACAAATGCATGCTTGACATGCGGGAGGGGCCAACCCTCCTCCCCTCCTCCAGCGGAGGTTTCTTAATTACTCTTTTACTCAATATTTATATATAGGGTGGCGCGGGGAAACAGGAAATTTTGAATTAAAGTTATTTGCACGAATAAATGCAAAAAACAAATAATTCAGTAACGAAAGAGCATGAATTCAGCATGCCATTTATGTTTTTACGATAAAAATGTTCAGAATTTTCTCTTTACATTTTAAAGATGACATCGGAAAGATGTGCTCCCATTCGGCGTTCACACACTAAGAAGTTAACTGTTAAGAAAACTTTGGAATGCGCGGTGTAGCAAATCTTGGGGAATGGCAGTGGTTTCTTTTTCACTGTTCTCCTTCAGTCATGGATTGTTGCAGAACGTGTACGGTACACCTTGCCTTTAAGATTCCTCTACAGGAAGAAGTCGCACACACGAAGATCAGGGGATCTCGCAGGCCATTCAATGTCACCGTTACGTGAAATAATGCGTCTTCCAAACAATTGACGAACTGCTGCCATCGATTGTCGAGCAGTGTGTTACGTGGCTCCGTCCTGCTGAAACCACAAGCTTTTGATGTTAAGATTAAGCTCGAACAGTCTCGGTGTAAAGAATGTTTGAAGCATTTAAACATAGCGACCGGATGTCACTGTCGCTGCACTACCATCCTCACGTGCGAAAAAAACGGCCGATAACACCATGACATGATACAGCACACCATATTGTGACTTTGGCGCTACGTAATGGTCGCTGGTGAAACAAGGATTTTCCTGTGCCCAATAACGAAAATTCTGTTTGTTCACGAATCCGTTGGTTCACGAATCCGAATGGGCTTCGTCTGATTTCCATATGTTACCAAGGAAATTCGCGTCCTCGTCGAGTTTAGCCAATACTACTAAACTCCATACGTGACGCCGGGTCTCGTTCATGTAATTGTTGCATAATCTGCACCTTATAGGGATGGAAGTGTAATTCGTACAGTATTCTTTGTAAGCTTCATCGCTTAATCCCTAGTGAAGGAGAATGCTGTCGAACGGAGCGGCGAGAACCTCTCTCGATTGCAGCTCCAACAGTTTCAATGTTCTCTGCGGTACGTACCGTTGGAATGCCACCTGGAGGTTTCTTTTTCAAGGCAGATCCTGTTTCTTCAAAATCACAACGCACCCACGTTGTAATCGCATGCGCAGATGTCTATAATGTCTCTGACGTCCAAGCTGGTAATGCTGTCGAAATATTCTCTGCGCGGTAGACGCACTACCACCATTTTTATAAAACGCTCTCACATGTTCAAAAGCATGAATCTTAGGTCGATTACATTCGAGCTCCAGGAAGGTAGAGAGCGCAACGTACTAAATTGTATACGTAGATGACGAATATCAAAATAAAGACGTCATATCACGGCAGTATAGTACCGTATTTTACTATTAATGCAAATATTGCACCTGAAAGGTAGGTAGAACGCATGAAATCTATTTAAAAAATAAATTATTTTTTCAGTTCATCTATTTCACTTTATGAGATATCAACAAAATTAGTCTTTAGTGTTCCTTTTTTTTTTTTTTTTTTTTACCGTATTGGAAGATTTTCTTATTTATTCGCACCTCAGAAGTCGCGCTCAATCACGAGTAGGTCTTGGAGATCTTAGAGGATGTTTTGAAAGCAAGTCACGTGCACCCTCATATTTTCCACTGCGCATCAGCTACTGAAAGGATTTTTTTCATCCTCTTACCTTATCGCAAGTACACATGAATCCAACTGTTGGGGCTGACCTCGAGTGAGACGGCCATACGGAACAGTATCCGCAGTGCGCGGGAAGTTCGTGTCCAGTTCGCGTGTGCGTCAAAAATACATTAGTTCACTAATTACTGTTGTCAAATGTGACACTCGATTTGTCAAAAAAAGAGAGAAAGGAAATAAAAGAATCTGAAGTGCTAGGCTTCAGATTACAGAAATGGAAACAAGTTGCTGCCGAGACAAAAAATTCAGTTTAAACACACACGAGACCTTTGCCCAATATTCTGTATCTTGAAGATACTTTTTCTTTTGTACATACATTAGGGAGTTAATGAGCGAATTTTATGTTCTCTACAATCCAGATGAATGGCAATTGTTTATAGATTTTTCAAAAATATGGTTTCAAAGCAGTGAAATAATTCCACGGATGAGTAATACATAATCAAAGGAAGGAATTTTCATCGGCCCGCAAATCATAAAACACATGAATGAAATATTGGAAGAAAAATTGCGAGATATTGAGTTAGATGCTTGAAATTCCTTTAAGAGAGTTGTTCATGTATTTCTCGGGACGGAAAACGGAAAACATTTATAAAACGTTGATCATAGAATGTTTAGAAAGCTAGAAAAATATGAGATGTAGAATGTCTCTAAAAATGTACTTTCTTCACTCCCATCTTAATTGTTCCCGAAGAATTTGGGTGATATTAGTGATGAATGTGATTAACAGTTTCATTAAGATGTTTCTACAATGGAGAAGATATGCCAAGGGCTAAGTATCCTGCAATGATGGAATATTATTGCTGGTTTCTTGTCAGAGAAAATAAATGGGAATACAAGTGTAAGTGACAAGGCGCAAAAGCATTTTTAAGCAATGCAATACGAATTTCTCCTCCCAAGATGTTTCAATATATGCGAATCACAAATATGCGTTTTCCATTTTTAACTTGTTCTTACCTGAAGCATGCTCATACGTTTTTGTAGAAAAATAACCGGAGTGACATTGCGGAAATTAGTATAGGATTTTTGTTTATATAATATACCAAATATATTCATTTCTTTTGAAACCTGCATCATAGAAAGTTTTTACAATTTTTGATGACAATGATTTTCGAAATCAGCGTGATCGTTACCTATGAAATCACCTACTTTTATCCAGAAGGTATGCAAAAACGTTGCCTAGTGTTGTTGTTGTTGTTATTATTATTATTATTATTATTATTATTATTATTATTATTATTATTATTATTATTATTATAGAGAAAATACTGAACGACGGGTCGAGGTTGACAGGTCGGGAAACAAACATAAGTCATGACGGACAATGGCGTTGCAAGAGGTTGTGTGGAAGCCACATTGGCGTTATCTGCAGTTTGTTGGAAGCAGTCTCGTCTCAAGGGAGTCAGTCTCGTCTTAGAATAATTTCCATCAGTGATGTTTAAATTGTGAATATCGATGACTCGCCGTCGCCGTCGCCGTCCTGCTTCCGGGAAGGCGACGCGTCGGTTCGCCCGACGAGGAAAGCTGCGTAGTCTTCCGCGACCGCCGCCCGCCGCGCATTGGCTCCCTCGGCGCGGAATTCCCCGCGCTGTGACGTCAGCGCCCCTCCGCCGCTGCGCATGCGCGGAGACGTGTCCGCGATCGCATTGCGGTCCGCGAGTGACAGCTGAGCGCGCGCCCAACGGAGGTAGGCATTGATTTCAATCACAAATATGTTTTGTCTGCGTCTGTAATGTTTTTAAAAGATTTTTTCTGTACTTTCTTTTTACACGCAATTTTTTGCGCGTAGAAGCTGCCCGAGGAGAGGCCAACGAGGCTGCTGTCGGCCCGGATTCCTGCGAGGCCGCAGTGCGTTGCGTCGCGTGGCGGCGTGTGGCGGCGCGCGGTGGACGCGGGCCGCAGGCAAATGCAGCGCTGCGTGTGGTGGGCGGCGGCTGCGGGGCTGGCGTGGGCCAGCCTCGGGGCCAGCGCGTACGGCTCCGAAGACGGTGAGTGCGAACAGGAAGGCAAAAATCAGTTGACGACAATAAATATCGGCGAAAGAAATACCTCAAACTTCGTGCTTATTTTTTGGTCGCGAGTAGGCTGACGTATGAGCACGTAGTGAGCAAATCAGACTTTGAAGACCGATGGTGGCAATCTTTGAAAATCCGAGTGTTTCTAGTGAGTACGGTGTGTTCGGAATGATACCGTTGCTGACAGTATGACAGGGAGAGTCTTTGTTTCTAGGGTACTTCACTGTTCCCTCACGATATGAGACATTTTTTGTACTTCTTCGCCTGATACAATGTCGTAAGATTGCTAGTATCGACCACTACCACATGCACAAACCTTACTTTTTTTTTGTTTTTATCCCAGAGTATTATGACAGGTCTGCTGTTCGATCTTCAATTCCAATACAGTACTACAGCTGTATGCAATGTATGATGTATTTCAGCAAAATGTGATGTATTTCAGATGATTCTTTGTTGCAATTAATAGCTCTTGGATTACAACAATGATTCCTTTCGTTACGGGATGTAGATATCTAATACTGAGCCGTGTGTAGCGTCATTGGAATTGGATATCTCAGCCGGATATCTACCGTGGATTGCCTTCTGATTCCGTCGCTCTATCTCTCAGTCGAAGGATGGTTACTGGAGTTCAATTTCACGTCGGTTGAGGCATAATGGTTTACAGTTATCTACTGCTTCCTGTGCCACTCCATGTAGGTCAGATGACACATGTTTCTTATGGAAGTACTTCCTTATGCTGATGATCTGTTTTGGATATTGGTAATTGTTAAGATGACACGATGGCCATCTTTCTTGGGAGTGTGACCCTTTGGATTGAGATTTTGGGATAGTGGAGTTGGAAGCGGGACATTTGGGTTCTGATAAGCCTTTCCAATGATTCAAAATCCTTCTCCACCATTTCACAATCACCAGTGTAAATGTAACAATTAATGTATCATTGTAATTATTAATGTAATTAATAAATTATTAATTAAATATTAATGTAATATATTATTGCGTACATATTAATTGCTGCTGTAAGATTTCGTGAGTTGAGAACGGTTTTGTGAATATACTTTTCATGCTCTTAACAAATTCCAATTGCATTTGGTTTTAATTTCCGTATGCGCAACCAACTTGTTTTGATGAATTCCTGGATATTTGTAGAGCTCATTTGCTTTTAAGGCTGTTATAGTTTCTCTTGAAATGGTTTCTTGTTCTATTGTGCTGATGTGTTTACCTGAATTGAGGCTTTGGATATTACATTTTCCAATACCAAATTGCAATTCCATGTAGGAAGAAATATTTTCGGTGACATGTATGAGATGCTGTGTAAGAGCCTGTAAGGTTCTTGAGTACAGCTTGATCGTTTATATACGTTAGATGACTTAAGTGGTATGTTCAAAAAGAAACTGGAATGTTTTTTATCGATTTGATTTATTCGCCTACAGCAATGTTATCACCTTCAAAGTAGTTTTTTGCCAAAAAAACACTAACAAGCAAGGGCGTGTACGTAGATGCATTATCGTGATGTAGAAGCCATGAACTGTTTCGCCATAAATCCGGACGTTTTCCGCGAATTGCTTTCCGCAAACAGCATTGAACTTGTAGAGAGTACTCCTTATTGATCGTTTGAACTTTTGACAAGATCGCATGACGCACTGCTCCGTTAAAATCAAAGAAAACTGTGAACATAACCTTCACATTCAACCAAACTTGCCAAACTTTTTTCAGTCTTGGCGATTCAGAATGCCTCCACTTGGACGATTGAACCTTAGTTTTGACGTCATACGAGTACACTCATGTTTCGTCTCCTGCTATGGCATGTTTCAGTAGCTCTGCATCGTTATTGACTCATTTAGCGACTCCTGAGGAACTCCCATTCGTCGCAGTTTTTGCTCGCAATTCAAAACGTTAATCACAAATTTTGCTTTCACACGTTTCGTACTCAAAACACCCGAAAATATTTCATGGCTTGAACTAAATGATATGCTCAGATCTTCAGCATCTCTGCATTCTCTGATTGTGATTCGGCGATCGTTCATGTCCATGTATTGATCTTTCTGCACGTGCCTATCGTTCTCGACTTGCGCGCCCTTAGACCTTCCCTTTCGGAGGTTTCTGAAGCTATTAGATCAGAGTAGTTTTACACTGTTTCCTCCTGCCATCTCTGCCAAAGTGATATGTACTCTCTGTGAGAAGGCGATTGGGTTTTAGTAATATTTCAACTTCTGTACATTCGTTCAACAATATATCACCGAGTCAAGTTGTTCATTCGTAGTAATTATTATTTATTACTGACTACTTCGGGGTACTGTCACTTTCTGCAGCGCCTCTGACCGTGAGGTCCTAGGGTTCTAACCTCATTGTCGGCGGGTTTTCGACACTAGTTATAGATAGCTATTCTTCGATTTAAATATGCCTTGTGACATCATCTGGACACTATTATCTAATCAAAAGCTACGCTACGACTGTACGTTTTGATTTTAAAATTTCAGACTGAATAAACGCGTCACAGCTGATCAGTCACACATCACTGTATTTACATCTGACAATCGTCGAATTTAGTTGCTCTCTGGAGGATAATTCTGGCGACCGGCTGTTCTAATTCTTAATTTCAAGTGCTTTTTTCTAACAATAGAGGGCGAATGCTGGAGCAATACCCTTACAAACAGGCTATGGATCGCGTGCGATCTTTCCTTTTTCTTCTTTGTCTTATTGAAACACCTTACACACTCGTACACTTACACGCACTACACTACCACATATGTCGGGAGATCAATTGGTAGCTTAGAGCTTGCTCCACCTGAGGCTATTCCCCGCTGCGGGGGATTCCTAGAGGGGGGAACCCGCCGCAACTGTCGTTCAGGTCAAACATTTACTACACTATTGGGACTAATGACCAGAAAAGTCAATTATAACTATTACTATTATTATTGTTATCATTACTGTTCGTCGAATTCGCGACAACAGATGTGAGTAGGTCGCATATAAAATCTCCACCAGGTTGCAAGGAGCTTCCTAAGGACCGGATCTAAAGACTGTCGGTGCCTCTACAATACTTTGCGCAAAATGTGGGCTGTTCCCAATTAAGCAATGTCTTGTACATCCCAGTCTTCTGAAGGACTTGGTAGTTTATTCAAGTTCTTACACACATTTTGCGGAACAAATCTCAGAGCTCCGGTAACTATTGGGAAAACCTGTGATTTCACGCCCCACGTTCGGATGATTTCATTATATATATTTTCCTAACCACCGCTCCCTATGGAAAAAAATCCTCCCTCTATAAATAACAGTTAATTTGTCATGATATATCAAAATATTGTTGCCTATTTTCTTTCCCTAATTTATTTTTTTATTTATACACTAAAAATCATAAAGCAGAACTTAAAAAATGAGAACCAAATATGCAATAAAATTGTTTATTACAATTTAATTTTTTTTAAAAATATAAATATAATAAACTGAGATGGTTGAGGCTGGTGGAATTTTAACAGTGTGCCAATGAAGGGTTATAATTACAATAACATCAATCACACATCGCCACGTTCAGCGAAGTGCAGTTAGTTCCTCGGCTTGGACAGCAAATTTGCTATTGCACTGAATTCACTATCAGAAATGTAGGATGAAGGAAATGCGATTAAAAATGTTCAGAATTCCGTTCTGTAATCTCTTTCACTGTCGGCAAAATTAATTCCTCGCCAATTGTGTGTGGTTTTCCTGATTTGGCGGTTGCGATGAAACATATTATGAGGCTCGAAGTCCATCATCATCTATTTTAGAAGACGACGCAAAGAGTTTTCATAGAGTTAGCCGTTTCATATGCTGTTTTTCCGGTAAAAAATGGGATTTCTCTTTCTTCGTATCAACATGCGTTTTATTTAAATGCTCTTGTGGCCTCAAATAAATTCATTTGATTTTTGAAACTTAAACACATTAGGAGAGTACGTAAATCCATATGTCAAACACTCAATTCTGTTTTGTCGGCATTTCCTTTTAAAAGTAGATTGAGACGATTTGATTTAACTTGTCAACAGGTTTGTAGATAGTTATAAAAATATTGCTTATAATGACTTTTATCACTTGTCAGTCAAGACTACCTACTACGGCGAAGCAAAAAAAATGAAATTTTAGAGCTACCTCATTTATAGATTTTGTGGAGGTACGTAATAACTTGCTTCATATATAAATTATTTCAAGCTCGCATATTCTTGTCGAAACGTATCGACTTTATGTGACTTCGGACATCAATTGATGTTTCTGCAATGCCTCTAACTGGGAGGTTCTAGGGTTCGAGCCCCGACCGCGACAGGATTTTCTGCTCGCTACAGCGCTAGATCGAATTCAACCATTGGAACCAGAAGAAACTCTAGCGGGCGACTGCACTGATAGGTATTGTTTCGTGCTTTCTCCGATCAATGCAAGGCGATTGCCAGTTCACTACCAGGTGAATGCCGGAGGGTGCCGTAAGCAACGGACCGCGAGCAGTCGCTCATCTCCTCCTCTTCCCTTAAACAGATACGAGTACATCCACATAAACCCACACCTATTAACTTACTGACTCCAAGTAATGGTTGTATATTTATTATTTAAAAAAATTAAATAAATCCATAATTATATATACTCGGAGTAATTGAGAAAAGAATAGAGATAAATTGAAATTTCCTGAGATATTTTGTGTTAATATTATTTTCACTATGAGTAAATTCTGTACTAAATTTTTATATTGTACTTTTTGAGGGGGGGGGTGTCATGACCCTACACCGAAATAAAATAATGCCTTATTTTGAGATAAATTCATATATCTTGAGATTTGATTAAAAGTGTGGTAAAAGAGTATTTTCAGAAAGTGAAAATTCTAAACAAGTCCAAATTCTACTATTTACGTGAAGTGTTGTGTTATGAAGAGGAGTGAAAGGGATGTGAAACAAAGACTTGTAGTGCAGTGAAATGAAGTGGTGTTGTAAATGGTTGCATCGTGAAATTGTTGTGTATAATTCATTATTATTATTTTTAATTAACTATTATTTTGTACAGAATTGTTTTATTGATCAATGGAAGGGATTAATGAATATAAGTTATTCTGCCATCAAGTTCCCACACTAAGGTCTGTTTCACAGGATGATGCGCGTCACCTAACGCTAATGACGTCAGCTGCGTCGACGCGCATGGTCAACGCACACGAGTCACTTAACGCGCGTCGTAGACTAACGCTGTATCTTATGCGAAACGGCACACGAGTAATGTTGGCGTCGTGCGTTGTGCCAATAGCTGAAGCACGACGCTGAAGCTGCAACGTAAATCATTTAAGGTGCAGCCAACGTGCGTTGACGCAGCTGACGTCGTGAGCGTTAGGTGACGCGCGTTGGCAACACAATTCTCTGTGACACAGGCCTTAATTGCTTAAAACCTTTTTCGAATGAAATATCGGCGTTTCGGGTGTGCGCAGTGCTGTGCTTCTACGGGGAGCGCGGGGCCATCCTGTGCCCGGCGGCCGCCGGCTGCTGCGAGAACTTCTGCTGTGTCGTCTCGCGCCCCGGCCGACCGCCCGACGCGCCCAGCCTCAGCCCCAGCCCCTCGGGGTGAGTGCGCCCGCCAGCGTAGGGAAACTGGTACCGCAAGGAAAATAAAGAGTTGGACCATATGTACAGTGGGGACCGACACGGAATAGGGCATACGTAAATTGGAGACCGACTACCTTATCGCCTTCGAGGTAAAAGTGGAAGGCAACACTTTATTTTCGAACAACATTTTCATAGCCATTGGCTTGAAAACACAACTCCCTTATCAATTTTCCAGACTTACTACTATCATATTTCTTTCCAGTTACGGTTTAGTTGAAGTTGGTTTTCATTCAGTTGAATCATTCCTTGATTGAATGAATACTGATTACCTTGCTATTTTATATTGTTTCTTTTTCTCTGCCAATATTCTTTTCGGTGTTATACTGAATATGAAATGAGGACACTCTTCTCGTGCTTTCTTTGCTTTCAATTTTGATATAGAAGCTAGTCTGCAAGATTTTCAATAAGGTACAAGGAAAATCTGGACAGCAGCGCGGCGGCGGCGACCCCCTTAAGGCTAAAGTACTACTAGTGTACCGACACTAGTTCAACTTGACGCCCCTACGTACCAGCACCAAAATGAGCTAAAATTACTTTAGTAATTACGTGTCAATAAATTGTTCCATTTTCAATCAGTAAACGGCATTTGATTTGCATTTAATATAGAACTTATGCTACGACACTCCTTTGAAAAAAAATTGAAAAGTAAGTTTTTGACTTTTTATGGAAAAGTTCCGGGACGAAATTTAAAAAAATGTGGGCTGATAGCTCGATGGCAACGAGCTTCCTGAATCAAACACCGCATCAATCGTTCAAATCGGACGAATAGATGCGCCGTAAAGTGAAATTTAGCAAAATTTAAATTCGCCCCCATGCCACGTTAAAAAGGTATCTCGGACCCGAATGAAACATAAGCCCTCATGGATTGTAAATTATGAGTAGGATTTCCTACGGAATTCCAATAAGGCAGTTGACAATGCAGTGCAATCGGCATACATTTTCTATTTCCAAAATAGGCAAGTGTTTTATTAAAATGTGAGGGTTATATTCCAAGGTAGCTCGGCGCCGGATCTCACCATTCCGCTTGCAAATATCACCGCCACCTCCCGAATAAAAAAAGCACGCACTACACTTAAGGGATTTGACCTTAGTCGTTGAGAACCTAATCAAAGAATAGTCCTCCACGAGGCCTTCAACTAAACAAGCGGCTTTTTCGCAGGTCCCATTTCATGCCGATCCTCGTGGGAATAGTCTTCTTCGTGGCCGTCTTATGCTTTGTCGGAATCTGCGTCTCAGGTGTCATCAAAGGTAAGCGCACAAACGCACGACGAGTTGAGCGCGCTTCTTGCAGCAGCGGATCTAAATACAAAATAAATTTACCCGCAAAGCATTACAAGCGCCATGGTCCATACCAATAAACCAGTTGCATCACGAACTAAATTTAGAAAACATTACAGATTTGATAAAATTACAGAACGAAAAAAATTTCAAATTACTTCAATATTTTCTACACAACACTATTTTTAATCTTGGCCAATTATACACAATTTCCACGCAGAGATAAATCCCGAATCCCCAAAGACCGATTGAGACCTCCCCAGATTTACTCGTTTCCCTTACACTTACACACTACAACACTACCAATACACTACTTTCTGTCATTTCCACAAATTCACAATGCAAACACTTTCTGTCAATAACATAAGTAATAATACCTATTCTACCCTCACAATTAGGGAAGTCAACGTGCGAGTGGTTAACTCTAACAAGCTATTTAATGTTAATTTCTAAAACTCCTGAAAGACTTGTACAGTCGAACAGGCAGGAAATAAATTTTTAAAACAGCGGATCTAAGGGGGTCATACAAAATGAAATTAAAAATATATGTAATTTAATTGATTGGTTATCTTTCGATTGTTATTATAATAATTGTCGTAAATTTGTACAAACTGTAAATATATATCACTAGTTTACAGATCGAAGGCTTCAGACTTGTCGGACCACTGATAAGCTGAAGCAATGTCGTCAGTGGCACGGTTACCTTTACACTATCATTCAGCATAAATGTCACAAAAATAATTGACGAGTCCCTCTGTCTCCCATCCCGTATTCTTACACGAATTCCGAGAACTGAGGCAAAATTATTTTTTCTGAAGTATTTAATAAGTACTTTATATCGGAATCTTGTACTGCATATTATGTATGTGGATCGGGACTAGTGACTTGAGTTCTTTCTAAGCGATTAGACTATATACAGAGTCGAGTGTACTTACGAGGAAATGTGAACGAACTCCGCAGCCTGCAGGCACCGCAGCAGCGCGCCCGCCTTCGCGGCGTGCCCGGCGGCGCCCTACCTTCCGCAGCCGTGGCCGCCCGCGCCCGTGCCCGTAGCCATGCCCATGGCGCCCCCGGACGACCCCCCGCCGCCCTACCACACCGTCGTGCGCGGCGCACCGCCGCCCTTCTGAGGTAACGCCTGCTCACTACTGTTCATAGGACATAAACACTCTTGCATTTTAAATTCTCTTGGCTAATGTTTTCACTAGTTTTACGTATGTGCCACCGGGAGAGAGATTGCTCAGGGTATCAACATCAGGGATGTGACTGCAGTACCTCTGGCCGGGAGGGCCTAGTACGCTAACGAACGGGCCACGGACCGCGCGTGTGCGTTCCTACCGCTTCCTTGTCCTATCCTCATCCCTTACTTAACCTTAACTTACTTAACAACTCCCACACATATTGGGAGCAAAGCCTTGTCTCGTCTGGGGCGGTGCCACGCTGGTGGGAGGTACCTGATTAGGGACCCCCCCCCCGTAGATGACGGTAGGTCAGCGCCGGGTCTCGCCATCCAGCGGGGGAAAAGCGTGCATTACACTTACGAAACTAATGGCTTCAGTAGTTGGTGTGCCCGGAATCACTAGCAACCAACCCACGCTATGTGATCAAAAGTATCCAGACACGTGGCTGAGAATGGCCTACCAGAATGGCAGTACCAGCCTACCATAGAAACCATGACATGCCTGACTGCGTGTTTCATCGATTCGCGGAAATGAGCGAGGTCACCAACTTCTTTCTAGAGATCTACAATAATGACATTGTATGACGTACTCTTGCACAATTGGAGAACTCGGTTAAAACGAACATTATACAAAGGAAGTGAAACGAAGATACTGAACGTGAAAATTGCTGCGTACTTATCAGATTGTGCGAGTGAAAGGTGTCCCGCCTGCAATTACAATTCCGAAGATCAACATTTTTTTCTTGATGAAATGTGTGTGTCAAAAACATCTAAAAATATTGACACGTTCAATTTTTTGGAAAACAAGTATTTTATGAGAAATTTTGTGTTTCAAACGCAGTCAATTTTTATTTTCTTAAACCATTTTATCATAAAAACGGCACAAAATTTCTTTCAATAAATTTGGACCGTTTGGATAAGGTCAATTCTGCCGTAAGTATAGCGCGTGGTTTCTTGGGAGATGACGGTGATCGTCCCCCACTGGATCGTGAGATCTGGCGCCGTCCTACAGTGGGCTAGGGTGATTTTCCCCAACAAGGTGTCTTCCAGCCGCGGGGCACCGCCCCTGCCGGGACAAGCTCTAAGCTCCCGATCGTTCTCCTGGCGTGTGTGGCCGTGTATTGCAGGAGTAAATGGGTAAACATAAAGGGTATGATAGAACAAGGAATGGGAAGGTAAGATCGCGCGCGGTCTGTGGCCCTGTTGTTAGGGTACTGTTCTGGCATTCATTTGGTGTTGATCGCAGAGAACACGGAAAATGACCAATCAGAGCAGCTAGAATTTTTCTCCAGGCAATAGACCTTGAACTAGCTCCCTGGCCAGGGCGGTATATCCTGCCACCGTGTGGAGGGGAAACCTGGGACCTCCCGGCCGCAGGCAACGGTAAGCAACGGTAAGCAGTTGGGCGATGCAGGTAATGCAATCTGAAAGGGCCATTCCCGCGCACGCCTGCGCCGGCACTCGACGTGCGTTTTGTCGCCCACAGAATCGCGCGTTGCTACTCCGGACGCGGAGGGGAATTCCGCGCTTCGCGGAAGCGCACACAGCGGCGAAGCTGCACCACCACCACCGCCGCCGCCGCCGCCACCGCAGCCGAGGCCGCGCGTGACGTCACGAGGCCGCACACGGCCGCCGGCGGAAGAGCGTCCGCAGGACGTCCGCGGCCGCGCGGCGGGCAGGGGGCTTCAGCGACATCGCGCGGGGTGTGACAGAACTTCAATAACGCCTTGCTTACACGTATTACTCGCACAAGGTTTCTTGATACAAGAGTTCCCTAGTCCTCATCCAGCGCTGAATGGCACGGCACGTTCAGAAACTTAGGTTTGACTCGGAACGGCACGTACCAATCTACAATGCTGACAACAACCACCTCGTACTTTCAAAACAATCGTAGCATTTTGCGTGGCACGTTTTGGTGAGTTAAGTTCATGCCCACAGTTGATACGCCCTTTTCAGCCGTGAAGTAGTCAAAGCCCTCCTCTTCCCACAACCTTCACTATGGAATATCAAGAAAACTTGCGCGTGTAGCACATGACCAACGCTATGATCCTCTCTTTAGTGTGTGTAAATAAGTGTATAAGGTGTATTTGACGTGGTGGTCATTGGTCGAAGAATACTGTTTCCTTCATCTGCTGCTTGATGTCGCTGAAGCTCAGTTGCCGCCCACGCTTTTCAAAAGTACATACCCCCATGTCCAGAGCAACCTTTTTACATCGTTCGTGATGAAGACTGTACTTCGATGTAAACAGAATGACTTCTGATTTGTGATCAGCTGACGCGGAATTATCCAATCGGGAGCTTCGTATTACGACTAACTTTTGGGTATTGAAGCTAGCTTCCTTTTGGATAAACGCACCCTGGGCCACTTGTGCGGCCATAGCCATTGCCGCCGTGTCCGGCCCTCGTTCGTAATGAGGCACTGTAGCAGCAGACGCGACGATCAAATTGGAGAGCTCTAAGCAGCCTTGCAATAAGGCAGACTGGCGCTCTATAAAACTTCCTCTGGATTTCGGCATCTTTCAGTTACATTCCGAATTTGCCGCGCTCACAGCGACTGCACTACAGTGGTTGCGGACTAAATGAGTATTTGTTGCCTCTCCAGTACTTAACAAGTTATGGAAGAAAAACGTGTAAAGGCAATCGTTTCATCCATGATGGAAAGAGATTTCTTTTCACCTTGGTTCATTGGGTGTTATCAGCTGAACTCCTACAAGATTGTGAGCTTGCATGGTTGGAGTTGTACGTCCAAATAGATTTTCGCTTTTCTAGATGCATGTAATATGAAACGACCAATGAAAAAAACAATCAACCTTGCAAAGGCAATGGTGGTGCGCCCATTTTTAAAGGCGTGGCGTAAGTGTAGTGAGGATAAGTGCGACACACATTCGGAGGTAGTGGTCGCGCTCACCTCGGCTCCTGGGACGCAATCGGAAATCAGATAAGTACAGAAAATATAAACATAATGCAAAGCTCTTGTGATTAAAACAGTAAATTTATCTGAATCTATTACCCTTGACAAAAAAACTTGCTGACTTGTAAACAAGTGTAGAGGCAATGTTAATGGTTCAACATTCAACATACTTGTATTTAAAATGTTGAAATACTCAACATGTATGTTTCACATTTAACAACTTGTAATCTGTTGGTGTTACCCATCACTTGTAACAATTGTACGGGGTCAGCGCAATAGTGGTCTAAGCCACAATTTAAGGAAACGGAGAAAAATCAAGTTTCGTAGTCTGGTAAGAAAGCATTGTGAAGAGGAAAAAATCGTGATATCATTATTAACTTAAAGAGGAAAACTGGTCAAACCAACAATGTACGAAGATAGTTCACCTTCTTGGAAAACAACTGGTTTAATATTAACTCATGTTTTCTACGGTTAGACCACTATTGCGCTCAGCCCTTAAATTATCATAGGTAAAGAATGCTTTGGAAATAGTCTCTATATTCCCGACTGGCGAAGCGAGGAGGGACTTGATCTGAGAATTTCCAAAGCACGAGTGGTATTTAACAGGACTATTCCACGAGTCAAATTATGCACAACAGAGTTCCAAAATGCGCCAAATATTGAAATTAACTGATGTAACACGCTGTGCTCCGTTGCCTCTAAGATGGTGTGGTAGCGTGAAGAAGCAACAGAACTAGCAGTGCAACAAATATTTAGATTTTGGTGAGTTCTCAGAAAGACTAAGTTCCCCAGGTGAAGAGACGACTGGATGTTAGGACTCGGTAGTGCCAGGCGGGCACGAGGAGAATAACGAAGAGAGCGTTTCTCTGATATAACAACAGAGTTCTTTATGAAACTAAAGTGATACAAAAGTAGCTATTCTACATGTCTACTCTCCAGCTGAGCAATGCCAACTCCCTTGTGTGCTTGGTTACAGTGGAATATATAACATTGCCTCCGTGGAGGGGAGCTTATTAACATAATTAGATGTTGAGAGAAGGGGTGCTGGTGGAGGGAGCTTCCTGAAGTGGTGGGGGAAACTCCGTTGGCTATGGAAGATCTTACTTTGCATTTTATAATATTATATTTAACTTATTCGTCGAAATGAGATCATCTCTGCTGAGCTCGTGTCTACGGCTCGGAGTGCCTGCACGCGTGGGTTATTGAAACTACCCACACCATCCGGTTTGATAGTGCCATCCGGTCTGATAGCTTTAAGCTGACCTGTCGGCGAAACACGTGCCGATTCTGACTTGTGCTGCATAAGCCGCCAGACGTCTGGGCCACGTTTGACGGTGACCTCGAGTCAACAGAACCTCTTTGTATTTAAAGTTTACAGAGAGTCTCTGTATCTCCGTTCGCTATTAAGAATATTCCATAGCATCTCCCATTATAATATATATATATATATATATATATATATATATATATATATATATATATATAATGTACGGTGCATGTTTGCGTTTACAATCAGTGTACTTAAGAACTAAAGTATACCAATTAACATTGATGAGTTCCATTGATTACATTCATTCATAACGTTCCTTACGTTATATTACGTCTTTGTATGAGCGAGGAGCGCCTCATACGACACTGAAAGTGTAGGTTAAAATCAGAGGTTATGGAATAGTACATACATGGCTTATTTCACGTCAACGCAACGATCAATGTATACCTCCTAATAAGATAGAGAAGCCATAGTTTATGATTTGTCAATAGGGAGAAGCTGTAAGAAAAGTCGGATAGAAAAAGCGATAACTTTTTGAGATACCCCACTCTGATTGGGGCATTTTGTATGTGTAGTTAAACTCTTGGTTTTAATTTCGCAAGTGGAATAGTCATGTGTAACGGAACCATCGAGGCATTTTCCGGCCAATCACCTCCAATTTCAAGTGTAAAGTCCTTGGGCGAAATTTGTCGATTTTGTTTGAAAAATTGCCGAGATAAGTTCATTACTTTGCCGTGCGATATCGACGAAAGAGGTTATTGCATGGGTTACATGCCATAATAAGCAAATTATCGTAGCCATATGCGACACGTTCTTCAACCTCTTTGCATTTTAGAGAGATACTCTTCGTTCATAAAAGCCACTAATCGCGATTTCGTCCAGTGTCAGTTTCAAATATTTAAACTCAAATGTGATTTTTTTTCAAAAAGTTCTTATTCGAGTAACGAGATAAATGAAAAGGTAAGTTTTCCCCAAATTACAAGAAACTTATCATCCAGGGACAAAACAAACATATTTTGTGTTACTTACTCTACACAACTTTCCTCGTTTGAGGGTGAAAGTAATGAAGACTGATTTATTGTAGTTAAATAGAGCTTTTGTTTTATCGTTGTGAAATACATGTTAATACCAATAAAAGGATTTTTTTTGTTTAATTTCATATATTTTTTAATTTTATTAATTCTTTTTCCAATTCCATATACATTTTCTCTTTTTCGCAGATCAGTATCTTTAATCATTTCTATTGATTTTCTGTGAAACGAATCTCCTGTAAGTACTAAAATCAGAAGGAAAGTAGCCAGATACAATAATAGACCCAAGGTGTAGCTGAAGAGAAGAGTGGCAATGGCTTCGGGTGAATGCTCTTCTGGGTTGCTTAAAGTGGTGAAAACGACGTTTGTATGATTTTTGCATTCACTCAACTGCTACCTTTGGCCTGCAAAATGAAAACACGTGCTTTCTGCTCTATATTTTATTTTTTGACCGGAAAATAATATGGATCGGCGTGACATCATTATTCTTTAAACAATACAGAAATTATCTTATGGTTTTTCCAGGTCTTTTCTAAACTTACTTAGTTTTGAAAATTACAAAAAGTGCAAAAAGTGGGAAAATGTGATTTTTTAATGAAGTTAGAACAAACGCATGAAGTATGGCTAAATAGGAAATGAAACTCCTTCGATTTCAAATCGCTTCCCGAAAATATGAATTTTTACTTAGTTATTTGCACCCGTCAAATAAAAAACTGAAGCTTTTGCCCACTTTTATACTATATAAACGTTTCAGGGATCTTGGAGTAGTTAATAGCTAACAAGGGTCTGTGGGTCAAGGGTCTTATTGGGTCTGTTACTGAGTAATTGAGGCTTCTTTCTTTCGTTAGTCTTGTAAACCTTACATACGAACTGTTCTTGATTAAGGAATCTGCCTTTAGTTATCCCGAAATCCGCTGACCCGACAATAGCGCTAATAGGCGTCACTGGAACTTTAGATTACATTCTTACAAAGGCTGACATTACAGTTTCTGAGCGAAGAAATAGAATGTGCTACTCAGGAATTCTGTGGAGAACATTTTGTTGCATTTCGTAAATATTATTTGAAGCAAGTACCATTAAAATCAATGAAACCTGTGAAAAATGATTCAAAAGTGACGGGAAAAGGGAAAAAATTACTTATTAGTCGAAATCGAATAAAAATGGATCATTTGCGTTTGTCAAAACATAAAATTGAAGTCTATATTAAAATTCATTGTTCTGGAGTGAAAAGAAAAAATGACATTTCACTAGAATCCGCTCCCTACTAATTATCTTCAAATAATATGTGTAAAGTACGCTAATTAACTATTTGATAATGCAAAATATTTACAGAAGTGTTGAGTGTTTGGCTGGCCACTGACGTCTCGCTCACTTCGACCGCCGCCTTTGGCCCTTCAATGCCAATTGGAGCAAAGTTTATCAGCCCGGAAACAGCTAATGTCGACTCCGGACGTGAAAGCCTTCAATGCTACAGAAATATTTAAACCTTTTCCCACCGCCAGCTGTCATGTTTTCCTTTCACGCCTACTGCTCATGCAGTGTAAAGAATAGTATGTAGTGTAATGGTGTGGGGGAAAACGATTTTTCAACATAAAAACTCTCATTGCTGGCCCTGGTACCGAAACAGTATACAAATCTTGTTCCTGAATGTAGTAAATTACTTCTCTAACTCGTGTAGTCAGAAACCACGTTTAATTGGTCATTGGTGTCCCATTACACGTCCCGCGTCCACGTCAAATTTGATGTTGGTCTGTGAACATCACTAGTAGTATACACAGCCTCTAGCATCACAGTGGGTTCCATTAATATTGCATCCACTTCATCATTCGTCCATAGCTTTTTAAAATAATTAACACCACATGTTAGAGGATTTTTTTTCCCCTTCAAATCTAGCTTACCAGATTTTCCAGGTCTTACCCACTTTTTCGCTACCAGGGTCCGGCAATAAATGTTTTTGTGTCGAAAATTCGCCGTTTTCCGCCCCACAATTACAATTCTTTCTGTTCTTACGTTACAAGGGCGACAAAGTGAAAAGGTCGAAAATCGCATTCCAGAATTTTTCAATATTCCCTGGTCACATTTTTCACAAAATTATATAATTTCGAAAATTTCAATACCCTGGTATATTTTGTAACATATTCCACACACACACACACACAACACTGCTGGCAGACAGTAGCTCAGCTGTAACTGCAACCGAACATACACATCCACCGTGAGAGGCGGAAAGGGATTTCCTTACAGAACGGCCAAAATAAAATGTACATTTTCAATAAAAAAAAACTGCCATCAAAAGAAAATTAATTCTCCAAATTTCATAAATAATGCATTCAATACCGTCAATAATTGACTGAACGCGTGTACAACGCTCGTTGATATAATTTATTCTTAATTAAACTAATGTTGGGAAAGGACTGGGCGTAGGTATTCCGGGGCTCAGAAAACGTGCGCATGTAATACGTGGGAGGGCAGCAGTCCCCAGACAGAGCGCCAGTTAGGCTCTCTTTGGTTTCGAAATAATTTCACATACGTCGATATTGCTGCAGTATTTTGAATATTGAATGTCAGTAAAACGAGAATGTATTCCTAACAAATAAAATATTTTTCGATTATTTGTGGGTTGTGCAACCTAAGCACGAGTATTTGAAATTTGTTCCATTTGAAATTTAAAAGTTACCCCCCAACCCGCTCTCTATCAGTGGTTGGCGGCGCTCACTCTAAAAGATTCTTAAAAACACCATCATGTTTTTTTCACACCCTGATGCAATTTCAGTCTCGCCACGTAAAATAAGGCATTATTCAATTCAATTTCACCAGAATTGCGAAAAATTGTTTTCTACGATTACAGCGCCATCTACTGGAAAACAAAAAATGTTTCAAACAAAATACGTATTTTTTTGCGGAGAATCCGAATCCGTTATAAAAAATAATAGGGGTTCCCATTTGAAATTCGCAAGTTGCCCCACCCCCGCCCCCAGGGGGTGTAGTTGGCAGATTGAGATTGGTATCATCCAATAGGCCCCTTTGAGACACATTTTATTCGAAACATTTCTTGATACGATTCTTAGTTTTCGAGATATTTAGTTGTCTCAAGATAAAAAGAATCACACTGTATACGATATATCCGTATACTCACACATCTTATGGAATGATGGCTGCTACCTAGCCGTTCCCAGCTCGTTCTTGTCTATATCCTGTTATAATGTATATGTTTGAAGGTGATTTACGTTGCTTTTGCAAGACCCACTAAAGATGGGAAAATGTTTTCCCGAAATCCTGGCAAATGAACCAGGTATAATCATGGAAAACTAAACAACATATAGATCATATCAACTACACAACATATACATCATATCAACAAACCAGAAACAGAAAAAATGTTCAAGTATTAGCACTGACAGAGCGGGGTATTCGGCAAGGCGGCTTTGAAAGACCCCGAAGGGGTAGATTGGGTCACTGATTATAATTGGGGCCTGGATGTTTATGACCTAAAAATGTTAGAAACACGCAAGTATTTATGACTTAAAAAGTATGAAAATGTGATCAAAATATGACTTTTTGGTGGCACTATCGAAACCTTCAAAATCTTTCCGCAGCATAATTTATTAGCAGTATTAGCTTGGTTTAATCCCATTAAGGTCAAAGCCCTCCTGTATGCAGGGTGGGTGGTTGGCTTATTACTAATTCTTATGATTATTGTAGTTTGGTGTATGCTATTCACTAGTTACTATCAATTATTTTCTCTTTTTTTTAACTTTCTTCACACTGTACATCTTCTATCCCTTTTCACATCTTTCTCTTCGCAATTCATTTAACACTTTCGACAATTCCTAACACTTCCTCAACACTGGCGATAAACTCATTTGGACTGGGCTGTCTTTTTACTCAGTATTAGTTCTTGGTGTTTTATCACTCTGTACCTCTTAGTTCTTTCTTACCATTTTGATTTAGTCTTACTCTAGAATTAAATAACTATTATATTGAAAATATAACTTTAAAAACTAGCACGTTCAAAATTAACCCTCCTCCTTTGGCTCCTCGAAAGACAATTCTACCAACTAAAGGTATTTATAAAAGCAGTTGACCTTGGCACTGAAACTGGCCTTAAAACTTGATTGACGTTTGTCGAAATAAAATAACAATTCCTTCGCATCTGGGACATTCTACCTTCTTTTTGCCTTATATATATATATATATATATATATATATATATATAAAGATACAACAATTGCATAAAAATTGTAAGAAATTAGATAAGTTCGGAGATGTGAAAAATTTCTTTGAGTCGACTGCAAGCAAGTATGCGAAAGTGGAATTAAAAAGATAAAAATATGAGAAAAATTTCAAAAATTCATGAAAAATGTGATCATAATATGAAAAATTTACGAAAAATGAACAAAGGGTTTAAAAAGCAAAAATATGACGTATATGACACGTGAAAATTGTGTAGGTTTAGTCATTGTAGATAAAATTCTGCTTAACTTGCCTTTTTCATGGAAATAACACAAAGAAAAAATATGACAGGTCATAAACTTTCGGGCCCTAATTATAATATAAATGAAGCAATCATTGGCTTCCGAGTTGCGGCACATTGACAGTCATAGATATTGCTGTTTAGGAGCTAATTGAACAGGTAACATCAGTATTGATAATGATCAAAATGACTTAACTCGGGTGTACTACAAACGCATTGAACATAAGGATCATTTATTGATGTGTCTTTATTTATGTCTATGTGTCTCTTCCCTCTTTCTCCTTCTCTCTCTCTTGGTCTGTCTCCGACTCTATGACCCTGCTCCTCCCTTTATCCCTGCCTCGCCCTGCGCACATGGCAACGCTCAGCAACAATAAAGGCCAGGTGGCGCACAGTTACAACAAAATTACCAGCACATAAACCTTCTGGATGAAAAAACACGTAATGTGCCAACTTTAATGAAGATCGGTCACACGGTGTACGAGTTTACCGCTCTTATATATACCAACACGCACGCACGCACGCACGCGCACACACACACACACCTTTCGTTGGTGCGTCACATATCACCATTTCTTTTCAACACGTACACAATAAATTAACATTTCTGGAATATCAGGGATGCTCATTCAAACCTAACTATTAATTCTGGCTCATTTACAAATACATAATACACACACATGAAAACTTCCTGTAAGAAACAACAATCCTTACAAGCTAACATTCACACGTTTTTCACCAACTAAGCTTTCTGCTGACTCTTGCAATTACAGAAACAAATAATACATTACTTGGTTTTGATTCAACAATTATGAATTAACTTTTGAATAGTTAGAAGTCCTTCCTAGAATGATTATTGCATTACATGATCCTACTTGTGCCACGTTTTTCCCTTTACATATGAAAAACAGGTGGCACTGACACTTGCGTTTCGCGCGCCACCACTGGTCAAACAGAGAGCTTTAAATAAGACCTGTTCACAAGTCTAGTGAAAAATGAAAATATGCGGCCGGGAACGAGACGCGTTATACCTGCAACGCGGTACTAGTCTGTAATAATGATAACGCGGTAATAATGGTCTGCGCATGCTGGGAGGCTATACTGCGATTTATTCAAAGCTGCCTCTGGTTGGTCATGAACTGTTACGGTGCTATGCAATCGGAACCTTACATTATGGTAGCGTTCAAACTTCCGTTTGGATGACACTGAAACAGCCGATTTACGTTACAGGCAGCTATGGAAAAATCCAAGTATAAACTCCCTACCCCTGAGTGCGAGAGAAGATAGCGCGCGTCCTGTAGTGCGCATGCACAGCAGAGCCAGCCGGTGTCTCCATCCTCTCTCAGTTATAGGCCCCGCTAATTCCTTCGCACGTAAGCGGAGGTAAAGAAGCCCAAAACATTTCATTTTCTTTAACGATTCAGTGAAAAAATTACACACAAAACGTCGATTTTGTTGAAAAATAATTTGGGTATTCTAAGGCTCTTCTACCCTTCAGCTACGCCACTACCTGTAAATCACTATTGTCATACAAGCAAAGCATCTGGTCTTATTAACAAAAATATAAACACATATTTGGCTAAAATAGTTCTTTTTCCTTATGCTCAAAATTACATCACACTTGAAATGTGTCTAATTGTTTGCATTTTAAATATGTTGAGCCAGAAATACGTTATTCCTAAAGGTCCTTCAAACCTTGAAACTTGGTTGACTAAAGAGGTTTTAAAATGAACTAAAATAAGAATGAAAATTTTCCTGCAACACAACTTTTATTCTTTATACCGAATTTCAAGATGATCAACAGTTCAAAATTCAAGTTTTTAAAAATTTAATATCCATTTTCAAAAATGTGATGTGTGGATCCAACACATTACACACTTTGAATATCACTGCTTCGTCATTTTACTGAAAAAGCTAGGTTTCTACTTCTTAATGAGTGTTTTACTCTTTTCAGCAACATATCTCCCTGAACTGTCTGTCAGATAAGTTGGTTCATCAAATTATTTGTTTGTGATGAATGTATTTAGAAGAAATGTATTTATTAAATTGAAATTAATATTTCACACCATTTTGACTTTGGAATATTCTTTTTCTATGCTACACATTAAGCTGCATTGCATCCTTTTGGAATACATTTATAACAAAATTGTATAGCACATGTTACAAAATACTAAAAATACTGAACATATTTCAAGATTACGTTATCCATGGTGCCTTGCTTCTTCTTCTTCTTCGGCACGCTCTCTGTCTGGAGGGGGCACCAACTGCTTATCTTCACGAACATGAGACAAAATAGTAGTAAGTTTATTGACTTCAAGTTCAGTATTTGTCAACTGAGGACCTTTTTTAGGTGGTTTCACTTTCTTACGGCAGTTCGGAGATAATTTCAAACTCAATATAACTCCCCTGAAATATATTTATATTTAAAATTATTACAACAAATCACTGTGGTAAAAATATTATAACTTAGTTCTAATAACATTCAAATTTAATGGAATTCATAGGTATGAGCCAGAGGGGGGGCTAAAAATTTTGAAAGAGTCATTTGGGGAACAGTCTTCAAACCATCTGGCAAACCCCTCTTGTTTAAGGCTGCACAGACCTATGAAGAGATTATTTTAGGTTCCTAAAGAGTTTAAAAAACATTAAGAGCTTTATAACAAAGTTAGACATAACATTTTGTAAGAGAAACACCTCAACATTGAGAAAAATTACTCAACAATTTATCATATAAATTAGTGAATTTATTTGATTCAATCTACGAAATCAAATACGAAGTTCATCGATTTTGCAATATCTCCCTCAACACTCTCACTATCTACTTCCTCTTATTCTCAATCCTTTTTTATTTATTCCAGTGACATTCCGCCATGTGATATTGTACATCCTAATTGGAAGCTTCAAAAACTTTTTATGAAGGTGCATTACATACAGTGACTTTATGAAATTCTTCTGTTTTAAAACTGTTCATTAATTTAAAATATTGTTTTATTTGTTTTGATATTTTAACTCCAGCATAAGTTTGATATAATAGATTGAGATACATTGCTATTGATGTATTCACAATTTAGTGTATAGCAAACATATTTTATTCTTTTGATCTAAGACTGCTTTCCAAAATACAATTTTCTGTTTATACGACCAAAAACAGTCTAACAAAGATGTTATATCAACAGACAAGAAAGAAAATATTAATTTAATATTTTAGTACATCTAAGGACACACGATCAACTGCCATTTTTACATGGGTATTTTGTGTGGAGCCTGGCACAACATCTCCCCATGCAGATATGTATAAAATACATTAACAATTCTGAGGCATAATTTTTTTATAAAAATGGTTACATATTTTGTGAAATATATATTATTTGCATTTGATTAAAATTATACATTTGCAGCATTGAAATAATGACCATCAAATTGGCACTCTGGTATGAATTGAGTTAGGGAGAATTAAAAAACAAACCTAATGGAAGCTTGCGAACTGAAAATACAATAAGTATTTTTTGCTTCTTATTCTTCGGTGAATGTCTACACTAAATATTAAAAAATAGTTTCTTTTTCCATTAAATCGTTAATTTATTAATTATTATTAATTTCTTTAATTGAGAAAGAAACTGTATTTTTATTAATGATGAAAACCTTCTACCCTAATTGAGAATAAGAAGGAAGAGAAGAACAAAGAGGAAAACAGATAGGGTAAAAGAGAGGAAAGGAAAAGAAAAGGAAGAACAAGAAGGGTGGAAGAAGAAAGAAAAGAAGGAAAAGACAAACAAGAAAACGAGGAAGAAAAAAGAGGATGTAAGAGAGAGAAGGAAGATGTAGAAGGAAAGTAAGGAACTGAAAAAGAATAGAAAGGAGGAGAAGAGGAGAAAATAATTGATTGAAATTGCCTTTCGTTTCTCAATGATCAATAAATTGAAGAAATGTTCAAAAGATTCCCATTTTCATAATTTCCTATTGATCATACTATTTATTCTACATCTGAATGAGCATGGTCTCAATATAAGTGTGTCTGTTCTCAACTTGAAAGTGTTTCATTATGATTGGCCTCAATTCAAGGATGAAAAGGCACATTACTGAAAAAAAGATTCTCTTAAAAGGAAAAGAAATCCTATTCCTCACATAAATTAAATAAAACATTAACAGATTTATTAATAGTATGTACCTGATATCACCAACCACAATGAAAGGGAGATAGGAATTGAAAGCCAATTTTGTTAATTTGTTGCGCTTTTTTGATACAACTTGTTGAGAACATATTGGATTATATTTATCAACATTTACATCAAATATATGAACTCTCCCATCAGAAGTTGCAGCTCCAAACACTGTACTTGAATATGGAGCCCATTCGACATCTTCCACAGGAGATCTCAGATCAAATACAAACAGAGGTTCACTAAAGAAAGAAAAAAATATTTTTAGTCATTACACACAATATTATGCGACTAATTTATAATGTTAAGCTTTATTGAACGAGTTCTGAAAACAAGCAATGTGAGGAGTGAGTTTTCAAATGCAATAAAGCAACTTAATAAACAGTTGAATGCATTATTTTTTTAATAACAGCATTATAAATTTATAAGAGAATCAAAGTTTTTTTTTTTAAGAACTTTTTTGTGACTTCACTGGTTTTAGGAAAAATGGTGGTCGACTGTTTGATTTCTTCCCATGATTCTCTTGCTGCAATTGGCTTAATGTATGATGGCACAATTATTCATGCTATAAATGCAATGGCAAATATGTCTTAATTTGTGCAGTAAGATGACATTTTACAAACATTTTCTTGCAAAAAGTAATTTATTATGTTGGAATTGAAAAAATGTGTTAATAATGTTGATAATGACTAACAATAATAATGATTCAAGTGTTAATTATTACATCACCAAACATTTGTTAAACACTACTTAACAAGTCACAATCACCACACTTAACATAAACAAAGCAATTTAGTAGCTACTGCAGAAAAGAAATAAATGGGAATTATGATTTCTGATCTTAAATTTAAAACTAGTGTGGTTTTTAAAGTAAAGAAAGAAGAAAACTGTACAGATATGAAACTAGTGGTTCTACAACATTGTACAACCTTTCTCAAATAATTATTATAAGTATTTAATTGAGTCCATTAAATTTCAGATGTTTATTGCAATATAGCCGTCATCAAACTTTTGACAGAGTATATTGCTAATTATTTTTGTTTGTCACAGCTAAGCATATTAATATGAAAGATGTTCAACAAAATTTTGTTGCTGTCAGCAATGCCTGAAAACCTCTCCAAGTTCTTTTCATCCCCTATATTCATAAATAAACTTTCTCCTAAAACTACATAAACTGAAGTGGAACTCAACATAACATAAGAAAACGTATTACTACGAAAGCCAATGTCAAATTTAGTTTTCACTGCTGGAAGATTAACATTATTTCTGTGTGCCATTGAGAAATGACAACATTTCTAATAGGTTTTTTATTTAACAAACCCTCATATTTGAATAAAATCAGGTTTGTGGAACATAAAAAATGGGCATCTTTTCCTTTAAACATTTTTGAGAAAATTTTTGGAGCCAAGAGAGAGAAAATGTAATGTATTTCTCAAAATAGGTCATTTTTGTTTAATATTTCCACTAAATCATTGTGAAAATATTTGGAATTCCATTAAGGATAATTTAAAGTTTGTGTTCATTCACACATGAAATTTAAAAATTACAACTTTTATGTTTATGTAAAATATGGGAAATGTCTGAGAGAATAAATAAAACTTATTTGTAATTTTTGAAAATCTAGTAGTTTTATTGAAAATTACCTTTAAACATAATTGCAGAGAAGTATTGGGCTCCAATCATACCCAAAGTTTTTGTTTCTTTAAGAAAATTTTTAAGCATTTACTATAAGCATTTCATAAAAATTGCATATAGTATTTTACTACTTGAATTTTGAAACACATTTACAGCATCCTGCAAAATTCTAATATTTCTATTTTATAATAATGATTCCTCCCTCCGCAAAATTGGAGTGATTTTTGTGTAAAATTCAGCACTTTTAATGTACAGTTGCCAAATTTTTCACAGATCCACTTATAATCTACTATAAAGATGTCCTCAAAATGGAATTATTCCTTCATAATTTGCAGTCTCAGGTGCAGCCAGGCCGAGTGCAGAAATTTTTTTCAGCAATATTCCTGAGAATGGTTTAGCAGCTAGAGGTGAACACAAATGGACATTAAAAAAGCCAAATGCATACTGATAGGGCAAAACGCATGTTCAGTCAGTCAGGGATGGTTTTCTTCAAATGAGTCTGGCTTTTGCACTTGGAATTTCATTCTTGACAACTTCCAAAGCATTATCACCCATCACACTGTAATGCACAGTAGTGAGTTGGTGTGATTGTTTAACACAGCTGTAAAATGGTAATGGAATAGAATGTTTGAAAGTCTGCAGAACTAATTTTGTATTGATATTGATATTCATGGATCTAATGTCAAAACAGATCTGGTAAGTGAATTTTTGAGAAAGTGAGAAAGCATGCGCTGGTCCATCCATTCCTAGGAGAAGACAAATAGAGATAGGGATGTTGTTTTCTTCCTCTCCATGTTCAGCTATCCATGAAGTACCACATGCCTTATTTACATTCATGTATATCACTATGAGAATCCACATTTTCTAGATCCTTGATACGAAAAGTTTAGCTTACAGCAAAAGTCTGTCAGTGCACAATGCTAGTGACTAAAACTGTCTCCACAATTTTCACCAAAATTGATCTGAGTGAATTTGTGACCCCCAAAATTTAAAACATATATTTTGTTTTTGGGGGGTACTTTTTAAGCAGCCCTGTCATTTTGAAATAAGAGCACAGACTAGAGGTATTACAGGTGCATACCATTTTCATTTACAATATCATTACCAGTGCTGGTAAAAAAGAGGTAATTGGGCTTGCTTAGAATTACTTGTCAAATATTTTACTCTATTACAAGTATAGGTAGAGATGTGTCATTCTTGAACAAACTAGTTCAAATGAACTAATCTTCACTCAGCACGCTGGGATGGAGCCACGAAAATTCTTCTATACCATGGATGGGGCCTATCATTCAGTCTTGTTCATGAACTAAATGAATAAACTAATGAATTCGTTTATTCATGATTTTTTTTTAGTCATGTTTAGTCATGTTTTTTAGTCATGATTACACTGAATATAATCATGAATATTATGAACAATTACTACAAAGTAACGATTACAATTTTATATTAAGGAGTAAACTATGTGTAAACAGTACATTCTGCTAAAAGTATCCATTAGATGCTAAAATTACTAACAAACTGTTACAAGTAATTGGATTATTTTTACTCAATTACTTCCCAACACTGGTACAAATTTACATACAATACAATTCAGTACCGGATTAAAGAGTCCAAGAGGCCCATGATAAAAAGCAGGACCTCTGTGGTGTACACGTTAACTGACCACTAACTACAAAGAACCCAAGATTCAGAGTTTTCTTCAAAAATGCATTGTAAATTTATATTGAGAGTTATGGAAATAATTAGTGGATAATGAAGGGACTCATGTTGTCCACAATTTTTGTGACCATCATAGGTGGCAGAATGGCAGGTAAGTGAATATCTTACATGATTTCAGTTCTAATTTTTTTTAACTGTTTATAAGAGAACTTTCCATAATTAAATAGATATCCATGTTTTCAATGATCATTAATATGAAATAGTACAGAATATAATTATGTTTTCGAAAGTTACTGTATGTTTTTAGGAGTGTGTGACCTCAAATGAAAGTATCAAAGCAGATACAAAACACAAGAACCCTCTCATCTCGCCTGAAAAGGAATGCAAAACAAAGATTTCTGTCACTCAATCTATACATTTTTTAAGGATGCTATTGTAAAATAAATTATTGCAGTTTAATATCATATTATCCAAAGAAAAATATTTTTATTTGATGAACATAGTATTTTATGAACTAGAGCTGCAAATTGAAATTTAACAAAAAACACAAAATTTACGTTGTGTTAATTCTGGATTTTATTGACATGGGATTCTTACACGATTCAGTTGATTGACTTAAGAACTTTTTTTAAATTATCGCCCTTATTTCTATAAATATCCCTGTAACACTTCAACGTTTGTTTTAGAAGAAATAAGTTTCAGAGGAAGTCTGTGTCAGGTAAATGAACTAATTTGTATTACTCATTTTAGCAAAATCGTTCAACAGTTAGATTTTCACTTTTAAAAATTTATTTACAATAATAGATGCAATTAAGAACAAAATGAAATGTCTCTTATCACATAAATTGTGATATCATTGAATGTTTGGGCCATATTTAGTATAATTTGAACTACTAGTACCTACAAGTAAGTTTATTAAAAATGTAACTACTCCTGTCTTTGATAAATGTGATCTGTTTTAGATGTAGAAATACTCAAATATTATGACAAAATTTTAAATGTTAACATGAAAATTGATGTCTTATTTTGATTCATTCTGCACTGAGCTCTCACTCTTATGGATGAGATATTGCATTCTAAAGGAAGAGAGAAGGATTATCATATAACAAGAAGTGTTATATGGTGGAGAAAGTCTGGGCATTGAGGAACACAATAATTGTTATTTAATACAATTATTGTATTAAGACAAGAGTGTTTGAATGCAATCTTATGAGTGTAAGTTGGCTGTTCTGATCGGAAGTAGATTCAGATGCCATATTGCAACCTCAGTCCCTTCTATCTCTTATATTTGTGAATGTTCCTGCATCAATTATGGGAAACAATAAAACAGCAGTATTCTTAACACCAATATAATATTAAAAGAAACATTCATTTTTGTTAAGATAAACCCAACTATTAATAGCACAATCTTACAACCCAAGACACTAATATTCAAAGGAAAATTAACAGGAACTATCCCAGACATTGACAAACTAATTAACTGGAAAAAAAAAAAAAAAAAAACTAAACATAAATTACACAATCATAATGTCCTTATACAATTCTTATTTAACACAACAAGAATTCCCAAATTTGACATTAGAAGGCAACAGCATCCCAGAAAACAATTGTTTTTGGAATCGCCATACAATCCAATGACCCCCAAGGGGAAATCACAGCAAAGAACTTTGAACTCAAAATTGTTCACCACCCACATTTTCAATATTTGGTTCATAAATAGAGCAAATAACATTAAAATAGGTTTTGATTTATTCTGTAGTAATCGGTGGTGTTGTTAAATGTAATAGAAAATCATTACTTATGAATCATTTAAAAAAAGTAATACAACACTAATATTAAGTGAAAAAACAAACATGAAGTGAGGCTTTATGTGAAATGATTTTGAGACATCACTAACAAGCATCTAAATACATTGTATCTTCGTTTCATATTTTACACCTTAATTTGATTTTGTGAATGTTGTATGCATACCAAGTCAACTGATAAAATTTTTAAAAGATCTAAAGTAGACCCTTAATATGTAAATACTTATGAGAATGAAAGGTAGTTCCACCTAGTTTTGGTCGCATGATCAAGTGGATGGTAAATTCTGTTCATACAATGCAGTTTTTCACAGAATGCTTAGAATTGGTACCTTAACTGTATTAACTGTAACTGTAAGAAACATAATTGTGTATTAATGCGTGTTTCCTTCAACTGATACTACACTTCTCTTGATTTTAAAATACCCCAAAAAGTAAGTATGGATTTTCATGGCTTAGATATGTTGAATAACTATAACTAATGGTGTACTAAAAATATACTTAAAAAATTAATTTTCCTTTGAGGAAATTTGTTTAAAATAAATTGGTTCAAATATTACCACATAAAAAAAGATATGGGCGAGGAGGACTTGGACAGACCAGTAAGAAGATGGCTACAAGACCATTTCAAAATATGAAGGAAAACTACTCTCCTACAGGTTAATACAGTAAAGAGTGTTTTTAATACCTTCGAGTTATTAAGGTTAGATTGAAGGGATTGATGCAAGAGTTGTGCAATCTGTTCAACAACAATCCCCTAACAAATTCAATCTCACAATTAATCAGTCCAGATTTTGAACAGAATTACCTTCTAAAACACAGAGGGTAGTAATAATAATATAATGATAATAATAATAATAATAATAATAATAATAATAATAATAATAATAATAATAATAATAATCATGGTGATACTAATAATGATGATGATGATGATGACCATAACGATAATAACAATAATAATAATAATGATAATAGCATTAATTGAAATGAAAACAATGACAGCACATTTACATTTACTCAATGTAATTTATTAGAAAAGAAAATGTACTAAATCATTTAAAGCATAGGAACTATGTAACAACAAACTTCATATTCTAGTTATAATAGAAGAATACAGTTTTTCCTCTAAGAAATAATTTCAAATATTTAAACAACTTCATAGTGGATGTTTTCAACCATTTGGAAGAATCATAATAAATGAAAAATAAATTTGTTTACCAGCTCCATTCTCAACACCGATGCAATAATTTTTACCAGACAAGCACCATAAGCAAATAGTTTTCATAACAATGTACAAAACAAAACAATGTAAATAAATCTGAATTATTAGAAAACACTATCCTTAGTACTTTCTCACAAGTGTCTACTGAACAAAACATTTTCACATTAATTGGAATGATATCCTCCAACGGGCAGTTTATATCCTGCATTACTCAAAATTCCGGATGAAACTAACTTATTAATAAATGAACCAGATTTTTCACAATCTTCATTTTTTCTCTGCTTATCCTCCCGTTTTGTAACTGAACTCGGATATTCAACACAAGGGTAAACTACATTAGTCTGTGATAGAGTAGAAGAACCTGCAGTGTATGAATGCCAACTTGTGCCCTCTGTAGTTCCTGAAAGTGATGAGTTCAATGAACTCTGTCCAGCTCCTAGACTGAATGATGATGATCTCTTGTCCATTCTTGAATACAATCCCACATCATGATCTGATTTGCTACATCGGACACTAGATGAGTGACCAGATCCATGGGCAGGGCCAGGAGAAGAATGTTGTGAAGAATACGCACTGTTCCCTCTTTCTGATGCATAATTAACACTGCAATTAGAGAGTTTAATTCCTCTGTTGCCAGTATCACCACTAGATAAAGTACTTTGGGGAAGCATTTCAGACTCGCGCCTTTTCCAACAGCTCTGGCTATCAGACCCATACCATTCAGATGATGATGAAATTTTATCAGAGCTGTATCTTTTATTAGAAGGAGCCCAAATTGGAATGGAGGATTCTTTTGTATCTGCCATGCCTGGTTGTGTAACTGTGTGGTGCAAGTCTCTAGAATTGGAAGTTGAACCTGAAGTGCAACTTTGTAGAATTTTTTCATAACCACAATTTGCAGATGACAATGAAGTTTGTGAAAGTTTATCGTATCCTTGAGTTGAAACAGGTATGGGATTTTGAACAAATTTATCATAAATACCAGTTGAAGGTGCAGTCAGAGGTAAATTGTATCCAACATCACTTCCACATCTTGATGAAATATTTGAAGAATAATTTCGCCATCTGCTCTCCCTGCTCATCTCACTGGATTTCAATGTTGGTTCCTGGTATGTTCTAGTGACATTTGTACCAAAATAACTTTGTGACACAGGGGGTAAATAAGATTGGCAAACTTTCTGCTTCTGATGAAATTCATCTTTGCTTCCTAGTTGTTGGTGAGCATTATAGTCAGAAAAATTGTAACCTTTTTTCTTAGCCACATAATCACGGAATTCAAGATAATCAAGATATGCAATATAGTCAGAGTCATAGGAATTATAGTTTGAAAACCCTTGCTGCCGGTTTAGAGGGTATTCAACAGCACTGGAACCTAGCATAGTATATTTTTTTGAACCTTCTCTTTGACTCTTATAAACTGTTCCTCGATAGGGAGAAGGGGCTTTTCTTCTACGTCTATGTTGTTTTCCACTTTTTGAAGACTCTTGGTCACCTTCAAAACTTCTTTTACAATCTTGATCTTTATTTTTTAAAACTGAGTCTCTTATTCCCTTCAAATTTTCAGGCCAATGGTTTGAAACTGTAATTTTCACTGAACCATCAAAAATTTGAATTTCTGAATCATTAAATTCCAAAGCTTTTGTCAAAGATTTTTCATCTTCAAAAGTTACAAAGGCATAACCTCGATTGCCTGAGTGATTGTCAGCCAGAGGGATAAACATATTTTTTACAGAACAATCAGCTTTTTTGAGGAACTTACTCAGAGCAGATTTTAGAGATTCAGCACTTTTCTTAACTGGAAGTTTTGCAATAAATGTACTATAGTTTGGAGGCATTTCATCTTCGACTGGCTTCAAAAGAAACTTCCGATCTTTGCGAATACTCACTTTGATTTTGTTACCTAAAAATACTACTCCATCTAGGGCAAGACCCTTCAGAAGGGACTCTTTGTCTTCCATTGTAACAAAGCACATGCCTCGACCTTTAATTCCTGGATCACCAAGTTGCATCATTCCTTGAATTTTAGCCCCAACACTGGCAAAAAAGTCTCGTATAATGCGATCAGAAACATTCCAATTGATGTGTTTCACAAACAAGTCAAGCTCTAGTTTATCTGTGGAGACAATATCTTTTTCAGACACATCACTGATGGCTTGCCGTTTTGGAGATGAACTAGTCTCAGTACAATCATTAGAGACATTGGGGCTGAAGGATCGTTTATCACCTAAAGTACTCTTTGCCATTCCATGTCTTTCAGCAACAACCCAAAGATTTCGAAATGGTTTCTGCGATTGAGCAAGGCACTTCTCCAAATTTTCTTCTGATGGAAAGGCAATTACAGCCCTTACTTCTGAGCGTTTACTATTTGATTTTTTCCCTCGACTAAATTTAAGGACAGAAATATCCACTACTTCATTACGAGTAAAATTGAACAGCTGCAGGACTTCATCTTCTGTTACATCTGGTGGTAGATGTTTTAAATATGCTACATGCCCACTCTTTTTATACACTGGAATGTATTCACTGTTATCGGCACACTTCGTATTTCCCTCTATTTCTTTTTTGGTACTATTTCTAATTTCTTCTACATGTTCAAATTTTTGTGTTTCTTCTTGTTTATCAATTTCTGTGATTTTGTCTGTTTCTTCCATTTTTTCTGCTACATGCCCACTCCTTTTATAATCTGGAATGTATTCACTGTTAAAAACACACTTCATGTTTATATCTTTGTCAATACTATCTCTAATTTCTTCCACTTGTTCAAATTTCTGTGTTCCTTCATGTTTGTCATCTTCTGTAATTTTGTTCTTTTCTTCTATTTTTTCTGTTTCTTCATCTTCTTTTATTGTTTTTTCCATGTGGAAAAGGCCAAAATGAGTTTGCACAGATGGAAGAACAAGTAAATTTTGACCATTTTGAAGAAAATTGTTTAATTTTAAAGCTGTTTGAAAAGCATGTTCATTAGCAAACTCTACGAAAGTAAATATCAAATCATTATCATCTTTCTTTACTTTCCACAACATGCTTGCATCAACTATTTCGTCTTCAAGTATTTCAGTATGTTTTGTAAACAATTCTTTCACACCAGCTACATCTGTTTCCTGACTAAGATTTCCCACAAATACTCTCAAATTAAATTTATTTTCAATAGATGGCAATGGTTTTGCTGAACTACACATGTCAACATTTTGTTTATCTTCAATTGTGAAAGGAAATTCAGAAGTGTTTTTCTCTTGGCATGAAATTTCAACCACATATCCAATGTCTACCTCCTGTTCTCCATTTATCTCTGGGGTATTTGCTTTCTTACATTCCTCCATCTTCAAATAATAGTAAATATTTATGAATACTTCTGATGATATATATATCAACGTACATTACGTTTCTATCATATTCTAGTAATATGTTCCACGTAAAAAATCAATGTCAAATGCCAATCTAGTTTTCGAACTCTTATATAATTATTTTATAAGAATACACAAGAAAACTCTTGAAACATTAAAATATTGTCGGTATTTCTCGTCTTTGGGGCAAGTTCACAATAACACTTTCATCGTTATGTAAAATTGCGCGTGCTTTCAAGAAACACATGACAGTTGAGTACAAGTCAAAACACCAACACGGCTATGTACTATTCTTCTGTTTTAAGTACTTCCCGCGTATTTACTACACTGATTACTACTCCTATTAAATATTGTTGAAATATCCGATTACGTAAATGGTATTTCATTCACGGAATACAGTACTAAATGCGAAACATAAAAAGCGATGCCGGACTCAACTGTTTTGTTTTAATGTGAACAATAAGTACCTAGTACTATCCCCGCATCAAACACCCCTTCGCAACATAATGAGCGTTTTTTTAAAATGGAAACGCTTTTGCTAAGTTTTGAAAGTTACGTTATTGACAAAAGAAACTAGTGTAGTTATCAGACTCTTATACTTCTCTAGTAATGTTCCATACACTTAATGTTGAATTTATAAAATATAGGAACCAATAAAAACATTTGCTATAACATGGATATCCAATTTTGATTCCAAACGTAATTTCAAATCACAACTGGAATGTCGTTTTACTTACATAATGACCCAATTAATTCAAAAATGAATGCTCGTAAACTGGATCTTCAACTTAATCATAGAAAACTAACTTACGATCCTTTACAGATACTTAAGCGTATACTCGAACTGTCCTGAAATTCCCTGCTGCTGGGTGTCAGAGTGTATTATCATATTGTTAATTATTTATTATTATTATTATTATTATTATTATTATTATTATTATTATTATTATTATTATGTTGGACACTGCAGTCATCTTGTAGGGAACATTTTGCACTATCACTACCAAAAGTTTAAAGAAAACATTTGGAGCTGTTTTCGAGAAAATCTTGTTTTTGGTATTTTTTAAAATTGCACATATTGCACGACTATACAATATACGTATAGATTACACGACAATAAGTTTCCAAAACAAATACAGGATGTTAAAGAAAGAACTAACTAGGGAGAAAATGTATTTGAAGAAAAAATTTCTATTTTGTAGTTGAAGGAAGACGCCAGAAAGAATACAAACTTTAATTCTTTGAAAATTCAGTTAACCGTGAAAATTGGATATATGCTACTTTTATAAGTGTATTTTATTTTATTTGAACAAGCAATTTAAAGAAAAGATTTCGAGCCGTTTGTGAAAAAAAATTGAAAATATCCCAGCGGCTTCATACAGAGTACCTCCAAATTTTAAAGAATGTTTTTCAAAATTTCAAAGCTCCGAATTGTGCCAGATGGACAGGGGTTTCTTCGATTTGAAAAAAACAAAACAAAAAAACTACATATTGTTCAGGCGGTAGTGGTGTTCACAGACAGACAGAAGTACTGAAAACAACATTTTTCGATATCAGGGGACCCCAAAATGTGTATTTTCTTCGAAATCTCAAAATCAATTTTCCCTGTATTACGTACTTTACTCCGTATATACGTGCGTACACGGAAAAGTAAAATACACTTATAAAGATGGCATAGGTCCTATTTTCACAGTTAACTCTGAATTTTCGAAAATTGCGAAAGTTTGGATTTTTTAGACATCTTCCTACAACAAAATTGAAGGCTTTTCCTTCAACTGAAATTTGTTGTCCATATTTCGTTCTTTCAATTGGAACATTTACATTTTTTGAAAATTTTAGTATTTTTCCGCAACATTGCCTACAATATTTACAATTTTAAAAATAACAAAAACGAGATTATCTCATTAACCGCTTCAATTTTTTTTAAACTTTTGGTAGGAACAGTGTTAAATACAGTCTATAAGATAATATAAACTTCATCTTGCTCTATCATTCTGTTGTTGTTTTTTTCAAAAATTACAAAATGTATTTTTTTACTTGTCTCTCAAGTCATTAATATTTACATTGGCGGTACATTTACAGTTACGATAGAGCTAATTACACACTTCAATTTGACGTAAACTTCATTTTGGGCCATTTTTTTGTTTTTTCAAAATTTACTCCAATGTTTGAAAGATTTCACATGCCGTTAATATGCATATTTCCGCAAATTGTAAAACCACTAATACAACGTTTATTATTCCGTATATGCAATACGTACGTAAACGAGAAAGTAAAAGGAAGGAAAATACACTTTATACCACAAATATATGTATAAAATACAGTTTCTCCAAAATATTCTTTCTTGTATACGTCCGTATATACGTAAATACAATTAATTAGATCGCTGGTGAGGTAGATACCTTCTATTATTATGATAAATAAAGATGTCGGGTATCAATACTTTTTATTAAGCTTATGATCGTTTCGATCGCATAGCGATCATCCTCAGAGCTTGCAGCTTCCGGGCCGAAATCAAAGTTCTGCGGATTTTTGAGTGCAAATCAACAATCCGCAGAACTCAATGCCGCAATGCTAAAAAATCCGCAGAACTTTGTTTTCGGCCCCAGAAGCTGTTGCAGTGTATGTGATCACTTAAAACCACAAATAAAGACAGAAGAATAAGAAAAATTCTCCATTCCAAGAAACTGATTATAAATGTTTCCCGAAGGCGGCACCCACGTGTGACAATGCGCCATGAGCGCAAGGCGCGCTGCCGCTCCCAAATCGGGTTGAGGTCAGCGCCACATCCATAGCCGGCAACAGGTCGGCCCGCGCGGCACCTCCGGCATATCATATTCCTTTTAAGGTACGCAACGACTGGTTCTGCGGGTCGAAGGGGCACGATGTGTACTATGTCACCAGCACGTTCAAAACGATCGTACAGCTTCTGAAGAAATCTTTGGAGTAGTGATAAGAATTCGAAGACGTTTGCGGGCGTCTGGAAAAATATTCTTCCGACATATGGTTGCCAGGTGACCACTACTTGAGCAGACAGTTTTTTTACATTATGTCCTCTATTTTTTTAAAGAAATAGTGGACTTTTTTATTCAAAAGCTTCATGATGAGATGGTATGTAATCTAAAGATGTACAATCTAAGAGAATAAGGATAGGAGAATCGCTTTTTATCCTTTTGCATAAGTTAGAATGAGACAAAAATCAATATCCATTATATCGATTTTCCGAAAAAAATATTAATCATACTCAATTGTTTCACAAGACATTTAATAAAAATATATAAAATGATTTATATACTATTTTTTAAACTCGCATTTACATTTTATTTTTATATTATACTTTTTTCTTAGTTGGACAGGTAGGTTTTCGAACACTCAATAACGTTATAATTTAAGGTTCAATGAGTACTAGTCTCAATATTTAGAGCGCGAATTGTCAAACCAAAGATTTCGATGATTATAAACAAAAGTTAATCATTGTTTTATGTAAATACTATTTTGCTGTGTCCTAATTAAATTACCATGTAAGTAATAGTAGATTAATATTTAGTAATAGCTATCAATTGAATCAGTTCTCAGTATAATACACAAACACATAGCTTCAGTGAATTTAGCAAATTCTATGAATTCGTGAATTCAGTGTTAAATTTTAATTAAATCTAAATAAAAAAATATTTCATAATTTAATTTATTTGTAATTTTAAAAAAAATTCTACTTAAGTCCCGCGCTTGCCCGCTATTTTTGGAAGCACGTCTGGCAACTCTATTCCAACATTTCATTTTGCAGCATTACCTACTTGAAATAATTATACCACTCATGTTGGATTTCTAAATTCTCTTCTCTTGTACATTCCTTGCAACATGTTCTGTACTGAATTTGACGTTGATTTTTACAGCACCGTCAATGGTACTAACAAAATCCACTAACCCTCGAAATATCCCCGGGTTTTCCAATTGTTTACTTTCGTCGTATCCTCACAACGCAAGCTGAGCTGGCGCATCAGAAAATTTGAGACAGTTTATACTCAGTCTGTTCTTACACACTTCATTGTTGTCGTTTTCCGGTGAGACTGTAGGTAAGCCAAATTACAATATTCAAGTAAAGCCAGTTCAACATTACTGTTTTATGGAGAGGTGTATCTTCATGTTTTTTAAGTTCCTCGCTCAAATGGTTCATGTCATTATAACCGGCCTTCGTCCACACATTTTTCTCCTTGCTAAATAAGATGCAAAGAAAACCAAATAGTGCATTTTCCCTCACATTCACGTGGTCACTTTAGGTCGAATAAATAAATATTAGCATTGAATCGTCCACAAAACTTTTGATTTGCTGATTTCACAGTTGTTTCAATTTTCAGAACAGGCTGCACGGACACTAAAAATAAAAGCATTATTCGAACCTAAGATGTAAAACGCATTTCTATACTGATTTTGGCTGAAGTCTAGTACACGGTATAATTTGCGGAAGTCTTTTAAACCGGCACTTCATGGCGGTCCGTCGGCATCTGCGCAGTTTGAATTCTGGAGGCTTTCTTGACAAGTGCTTTCATATAAAAGTGAATTGGAAATTATGCAGTGGGCAGACTCAAGGATGTTCATAGTGAACGCGAGGGCGAAGGCCCGAGCCTCGCCGTGACGAATCCGGGCGAGCGAAGCGAGAAAACTTGCTGTTCACTTGGCGTTACAATGCGGCGAGGTCAAAGCGTATGCGGTCAAAGCGTATGAAAATCGCCTATCCGTAAGTTTTATTCATTTCTATCAGAGCGCGTAGCGTAATTTCATGGAGGGCTTAAGGAGACCCCACCCCACGCCTCTGAGGGTGTACCGTGTACCCTACTTTAACCCTGATTTTAAGTAGGCCCTCACCGTCCACATCAGATGTAAAATCTCGGAGTTCGGGGGCACTGTTTTACTGACTACTGAACTATTGGGGACACTTTTACTGACGGCGCGACGGAGACTTCGTCTCGGAGGGCCGC